CGGGTGTGTGGGACGCACGCCGGCGGTCCCACTGGGGGCTTCGATGGAGCTCCCTATGGGGCCACGAAGCGTTGTATTGGGTGGGTGAAATTGCCACATTGGGTGTGTGGGACGCATGCGGGCGGTCCCACTGGGGGCTTCTGTGAAGCCCCCCATGGGGCCACGAAGCGCTGTATCGAGTGGGTGAAAATCCCAAATTGGGCGTGTGAGACGCATGCGGGCGGTCCCGCTGGGGGCTTCGGTGGAGCTCCCTATGTGGCCACAAAGCGTTGTACAGGGTGGGTGAAAATGCCAGGTTGTGTGTGTGTGGTGGAGGGGGGGACGCACGCGGGCGGTCCCAGCGGGGGCTTCGGTGGAGCTCCCTATGGGGCCTCGAAGCGCCGATCTCGGTGGGTGAAAATGCCACATTGGGTGTGTGGGACGCGTGCGGACAGTCAGGTGGAGCTCTTTATGGGGCCACGAAGCGTTGTATTAGGTAGGTTAAAATGCCAAATTCATGCGTCCCAGACGGTCCCACTGGGGTTTCGGTGGAGTTTCGTATGGGGCCACGAAGCGCTGTACCGGGTTGGTGAAAGTGCTAAATCCATGCGTCCCGGACGGTCCCATTGGGGGCTTCGGTGGAGCTCCCAATGGGGCCACGAAGCGCTGTACTGGGTGGGTGAAAATGCCAAATTCATGCGCCCCGGACTGTCCCATTATGGGTTTCGGTGGAGCTTCCTATCAGGCCACGAAACGCTGTACTGGGTGGGCGAAACGCAGGGAAGAGGGAGGGGGGGAGGAGGGGGAGGAAGGGGAACGCGGGGACCGTGTCTTCAAAACGAGGACCCAACACCACATGATTATTGGGAACAAGTGGTAGAACCAGACGGGCAGATCGGGTGGGCAGACCCATAGCGGGCAGGTCGAAAGGCGGGCCCAGGCGACCAGGTCGAGCCGGCGGGCGGGCCGAGTGGGCGGATCGGTCGTGAGTTTTGCGCGGTTGGCCAGAAAGATTTCAGCGAGAGAGCGACTCCCCAGTAAAATTGAGGAAGTTCCCAGCGAACGCACGATTCCTGAATGGCAAGAGCGCGGTGCCTGAGTCTCCGGCGGGAGCGCGATTCTTGAGTAAACCGCAAGGAAGTCTCAAGCGGGAGCGGGGGACCGGAGCTAATGTCGAGGAAGTATCAAGCGGGAGCCGTTGCTGATGTTAACCAGGGGCCAGGGGCACAGTTTGAGGAGGAAGATTTTCCCTTATAAAAACAAATTGAAAAATACGATGTGCACCGGAGGGGGAGAATCATCAATAATCATTCGTCAGTAGTGAGAGCTCAACAACAACAACAACCCAACAAGCATAATCTTCGCCACGGATTCTCAATACAGCCACTCACCGAGGGACATTGACTGACCGTTCGGCCCCTTACGCTGATGTTTAAGCAGCGCAAAGCAATACACATCAATGCAATGCAAAGCAATGAAAAGCAATACGATTGCGATGGAACGAGGGGGAGGTGCAACGGGGCGGCGGTAACATCCAGGAGCAGAGCCGCCGTGGCCGCACACGGGCATTTGACTATGAAGAAGGGTGCGGCGACGGACGGGAAAAGGGGCCGCCAGGGCCGTACCCAGGCCCAGTTCCTCAGAAGAGAAGCAAGACACTTTAAGTGCAAACATCTATTAGGGTAGACTAATTTACACTGAGAGACAAAGTGAAGGATAGAAAGAGAGAGAGAGATATGATACATCGACACACACACATACACATATACATATGTATATATATATATATGTATATATATATATATGTATATGTATATCCGTCGTGGGTGTCTGCGCCGACGACGTTGGCACGGTCGTGCAGGATCGCAGGCTCTTGCTCCGCTATCGCAGGGTCTTCGCAGCGGCGCAGACATTGGCAAGTCTCGCCCTCAAGCTGGCCAAGTGCAAGGTGGTGCCCCTGAATGCCCCATTCACTGTGGAGCTGGCGCACAGCATCAAGGAGTGGCTCGCGCTGGAGCTGCCTGGCTGGGAGAAGATGGACGTCGTTCCATTCGCCAAGTGCCTTGGCTGCATCCTGGGCCCAGGCGCCACGATCGACGACGTGTGGCAGGAGGCGGGAGCCAAATGGATCCACCGCATCCGCGACCTTGCCCATGACGGTGCGCCTGTACACATCACGACTGTGATCTACAAATCGCGTGTGCTCACTGTCCTCAGTTACTTGATGCAGCTGTTGCCGTTGCCCCGTGCGCTGGTCAGGCGTGAGGCCTGGGCGTGGCACAAGCTCTGGCACCTCCCGCCTCAGTCGCTATCGCTGGCCAGGCTTCTCGGCATCGGGAGCTAGTCGTCTTTGCGGCCTGCCAGCATGCAGGTCCTCAGCCTGGCCACGCGTATGCGCACGGCCTTGGGCACTGTGACCAACTGGTCGGCTTTACTCGACACGCCGCGAGAGTCCACGCTCGCTTTCGGCAGCTTGGCGGAGATGGCAACTGGCTGGTGGTCGCCATCGCTCTGGAGGACCAAGCCGATCGTGGTCCACCTTTCTGAGGCCAGCAGGGCCGTCTTCCCGCTTAAGGCTCATGCCTCTGCCGCCCGCACTGCCCTCGACGCCCTCGCCGAAGCCTCGAGCCAGGGGCCTGTGAAAGTGCAGAGATCCCATTCCTCTTCATTGCGCCTCTCCCTCTACCCCGACGTCCTCCACCTCACCCTTGCCAAACGTTTGGCCTCTTGGGAGCTCCCTTTTTCGGAATCATCCTGGGATGCCCTCAGAGATCTCATCCGAAATGGATGTCCACCGGCCTGGCAGAGTGCGGTCATTAAGACGATTGTAGGAGGCTGGCTCACGAGTGCGCGATTGCACTCATCTGAGATTGGCATGTGTAGATTCCAGTGCGCCCTGAGCCGAGACGACATGCTTCATTACATTCATTGCCCTGTTATGTGGAGGCTTGTATACCATCCTGAATCGCCTCCTGCCTGCCCCGCCACACGTCTCGGGCTCGATGGCCAACCTGCGCCTGAGATCGTCGAGAGAATTGTGCGGGCCTTTCATATATATAATGTTGTACGCACTGCCCCTGATCCTGGCCCCCTCGACAGTGAGGAGGCTCTCGGGAGGCATCATTACAATTTACGGCGAGCTGCACAGATCCTTGTAGAGCATTCTCGAGCGCCCTTCTAGGTCTGTCTGGTGGCCCCGTCTGGACTCTTCAGGGTACGAGTGATATACACATATATATATATACATATACGTATCTAGATATATGGAGGGAGAAAGAGAAAGAGAGAGAGAGAGAGAGAGAGAGAGAGAGAAAGAGAGAGAGAGAGAGAGAGTCACATTCCAAACATCACGCCAAAAGCTTGCGCTTCTATGAGGGCAAGTTGCAGACTGGTGCCGGTTCCTGAGCAGCGCACTCCGATGGCGGATCTTCCATCGCCCTCAATTTCTTTGTTCCTCCCTCCTCGACCTCCCTCCTCCTCGTCTTCGCTCTTCCCTCTCTCTCTCTCTCTTTCTCTCTCTCTCTCTCTCTCTCTCTCTCTCTCTCTCCTCCTCTTCCTCCCAGGGGAGGGGAGGAACGGAGGGGGGGGAGACGGAGGAAAAGGATCAGGAGAGGTGGTGGGAGAGGAGGGGTGGAAAGGGGGAGGGGGAGTGGAGGGGAGAGGGGGAGGATGAGGAAAGGGGAGCGGCGCGGTATCGTGAAGTGTCGCGCTTCGCGGGGGATCGCGCTGCATAGATTGATGATGTTTGAGCAGGATCTGCGGGTTATCTGGCGTCTTCGGATCCTCGAGGAGGTTCGGGTCTGTTCTCCGAGGGGGACGGCAGGGACCCTGAAGTGTTGACGCCGTGGCAAAAAATCACGACGAGCGTGTTCGCCCCGCTTCGGGCCCCGAAGATCCTCACGTATGGATCCGGGTCGGGAAACCATGCGCCAAGACGGGTCCGAGAGCTCCGATCGTCATTTTTCAATCACGTCGTGCGCGTGTCCACGATTGCTTTGAAGCGGCGTGCTCGAAGCTCGCGCCCTTATGCGGCCATCCACGCCCATCAGGCCTCGCGGCGTCCATTGTGACGCTTGGCCTTCGGGGGGCGATATGTGAAGGGTGGGGGAGGCGGGGAGCGAGCGAGGAGGATCATGAGTAGGTCGCCCCACCCACCTGAGAAGCACTTGGGGAGGCATGGGAGGGAAGGGGAATGGGGAGGGGGAGGGGGAAAACGGAGGGAGAGGAGGAGAAATGGAGTGGGAGATAGCAGCGTCCCTGAAACAAGCAGGCGGGCCCAGTGTAATACTGCCAGGGCCCGCAGCTAACGTCATTGTGAGGCGTGCGCCCCTCTGGGGTGGAGATGTGTGGACAGCATGGGGTATCGCTGCGGGTAGCCCCCCTTGGAATCGGCGTGGTTGCCATTCCGGCGGCTGTGATAGTGAAGGGAATACAGTGAAGAAAGAGAGAGAAAGAGAGAGAGAGTGGGAGAGGCACAGATAGAACGCAACAGTTCGGACAGCAGGTGTGTCCAGGCCCCGAGTCTACAAGCGCCCCGCAGCCGCAGGCCTACCTCAGAGTGGAAGGCGCCGCTTACGAAACAGAGGTGGTGGGATGACACCCCCCCTGGCGCGGCCTGTGCGGGGCTCCTGCTGGGAAGCAACGCGTGTATGCTGTGATCAGGCCGCTCTAGGGCCCGTCTGCGCACCAGAAGCAGCAGCGCCGCCTTTCCACACGCCGTTGCATGCGCGATGCGGAGTTTGGGAAAAACAAGTACCGTCACCGCTTTGGGGCATCCCCCGCAGCGGCCCAGAGAGAGCAGTAGACAGAGCGGGCGTGCCACGCGTTGCGTATCGATGCGGGCTTCGAACTTTGCCGTGAAGGGACGCCCCCAGGGCCACTGCCAGCCAAAAAGCTTGTTGCAGGCCACTCCAGGGTTCTTGCGCTCGCTGGGGCTTGTCGATCAACGGGGCTGCGTGTTCTTGAATCCATTTTGGCTCAAGCGATTGCATTTGCCTGGCTACCCCCCTTGCTAGGTATAGATGAGCGCCAACGCTGCTGATGGCCCCTCCCTTGTGGCGGCGGCTGTGCAGGCGGCGATCCGGGAGGGCGCCCCGAGGCGCACTGTTGCTGCTGTGGCTGCGGCGGTTGCCGGCACTGTGATGTCTGCGACTGCTCGGCCCTCCGTGCCAGCGACTATGCACAAGGAGCGCGCTCAGGATGCACAGGGCAAAGCTGAAGACTCCGACGATCCTGTACAATTGTTGGAGAAACTTCGTGCTGTACGCCGTGCCCAACGACTCCGCAAGAAGGAGAAGCGCAGGACAGCCAAGCAGGTGGCTCAAGATGGTCCAGCCTCTCCTATTCTTCCTGATGGCCTTCAGCCTGTCGTTGAAGCCATTCCACCTCCAGCAGGTGCAGCCGGCCCAAGCGCAGACCTCGGGGGAAGTCATGCTGCAGAGCCCGCTCCGGCACTTGCTCTACGTTCAGGCGCTGATTCACCCTCGCAGTCTGAAGGTACCCTCAATTCCCAGCACCCGCTCCCCGAGTCTATTGCTGGGAGTGCAATTGGCGCCAGTTCTTGCCACACACTGGGGCGAGAACCATCAGGGCCACCTGCACGTGCCAAAGATCCTGCACGATCTAGTGCACACCCACAGGGAGCTTCGTCAGGGAAGCCTTCCTTTGGACGTGTTGAGGGCGATGCTGGACCCAAATCTGGCCGGCCTCAGCCTTACCCGGGACGGAAGAAGTAGCCTGCCCCTCTTCCGTTCATGCGGCAGTCCCGACATTGCCGTTTCCATATGTGCTCAGGTATTCCAGTTGGGTGGCTGCATACTTCGAGCAACTCTGCTACGTGTATTTCAAGTTCCTGAGGCAGAGCAACTTCTGAGGGGTGCCCTTTCTTACCTCTTCGGCCACGTTCCAACGTGAGCCCATCTTAGGCCGCGATTGCTGCACCCGGCCTCTAAGCAGCCTGACTCGTTTATTTTTCTTGTGGCTGGGCAGCCCCCAGTCTTTTCAATTTCACGCGTGTTCTTGAATCTGGTGAAGGGAAGACGCGTGCTGGTTGGCTCGCTGATGGAGCGCGTGAGCATTGACGATGATAATGGTTTCGCGGCCACCTTCGTGATGACTGTTCGCCGCAGTGAGATTTTGCGCCAGGGCTTGTCTACTGCTGGTGCGTTGGGTGGTATTGTTGGTCACCCGTTTGAATTCTTGTGGGCCGAATGGGGGGACAGTTTGCGGTGGGGGTTCGGAGTAACCGCCAGGCTCTGGCGCACTTGGGCGGTCGTCGACTGGCCGAAAGAGAGGATGGTAGTGCGCGTCGGGGTGGTATTCGAGTGTGCTGTATTCGCCTAGGAAGTGACTCAGAGGAGGGAGGTAGGTCTTACCACGTTTGCTTTGCGATCGTGGCTTTGATGGCGGGGATCTCAGCATGCCAGCGTGGGCATCTCCGCGCAGTGCACCCCTCGGTTCCCCTTGCTTGTTCGCGCCATCTGCGCGGGGGGGATGGGCCAGCCGAAGCGCCAGCCTTTGTATCCTTTTTGCTGGGCGCGGCCACCCCCGCGCAGGCAGCTGCAGATGAGGCCAAACTGCCAGGCGGCATATTTGGCGTTCTCTGAGGATCTGAGGGGCCACGCGTTGGCCAAGTGATAGAGGGTCTGCTCGGCAGCGGCGACGGCGTCGAGGTCGCGCCCATCGCTGGGGACGCGTCGGGGGAATCATCTCGGCTGCGTCGCCCGAAGCACGTGGGTGAACAGCCCAGCTGGCCGTTGAATCCATGACAGGCGGGTGCCCTAGTCGCGGACATGGTGGCCACTTCGGGCCATGCCGATCGGCCCACCCCCTGGGAAGATTGCGCATGGCGATGCAGCGCCTCGGCCTGGGCATTGAGACTGGCGTCTCGCCGCCCATGCATCCGGAGCCCTGTTCGCTTGCGCCTCCCTTTGATTGGCGGCGCCAGATTTAATGGCGGGGCCCAGGGCCGCCAGGGCGTAGAGCGCCCGTTGTGAAATCCAGATGTGCCATTTTGGTCGAATGGCGGCAAACGCAGCGCCGCTGCGCGGGCTTCCCCCGCTGTCGCCAGGTGCCCGGGCATCCGCGCCAGCGGCGCGCGCGTCGGCCGCGCGGGAGCGGACCGCTGGGGCATGCGACAGAGCTTCTTCAGGGAGCCTCCGCGGGGGTCTCTCGTCGCCCTTTTCCAAATCTAGCATCCGCCGCGGCGTCGAGGCCGACGCGGCGGCCGTCGGCCGCGGGGGCCGCGCTGATGGCATTTCCCGCGGGCTTCACCTTGCGATGAGTTGCGAGTCGGTGCTGGCCCAGGCGCGGGGCGGCCATTCGGCGATGCGGGTTCTCTCCCGGGGCCCGCCCCGGAACTTTACCAGGGTGTATTTTCTGTTCGTGCACCTGGTCAAACAGAACTCTGCCTGGCCGTGCAAGGCCTGCGACTCCTCGGCCGCGGGGGTCTCGGGACTGCTGTCGCCGGCAAATGCGACGCTGCGCGACCGCGAGCGAGGCGCGCCTGCATTGCCGCGTAGTCCAGGCGCGCATGAGTAGTTCAGCGCATTCCAGCGAGAATGAGCTGCCTTGGATTTGCCCGCCGGCGCGCTGCAGCGGCGGGATGAAGCCCCCCCCCGCGCAGATGCAACGCGCGTCGAACTGGCGCCTCGCCTGCGCGGCGCTCGCTGGGCAACCGGCGCAGGGCGCAAGCTGGAGACAGATGTCGGTCACAGGGTAGTCGATGCGTGTTGGGGTGGGTCCAGCTCATCTCCAGGATGCCTTGCTGCGGTGAGCTGGCGTTTCCATGGCCTGCATCCAAATGGGCATCGCGGACAGGGGCCGCTGGTCTGTCTGCGTTTTCATTGGCACGGGGGGGCGCGGCGCGTGGAGGAGCGACGCAGGCGGCGCAGGATTCCGCCCAGAAGCGTTTTGGATTCTTCGGTGGCCCATCAGTCGAGCCCCCCCGCTCTGGCGGCCGATCTCGCCCGGATGAAGTGGGCGAGGTGATCGCAAGTGATAGTCATGGGTTAGGCAGTTCCTGGTGGCACCTCGTCTCGACCTCGCCCCCCGCGCGGGTGCGACCTCGTCGTCGCGGCCCCCCGCGGCGCTTTATCACCTGCCCAAGACTGGGGGCCATGTGTCGATCGCGTTCGATCATGGCACGGACGTCCGCAGGGATTTGGTCTGTTTCCGTCGGAGCCGGCGCGCGCCGTTGTCGTCGCTGTCTCCGTCGGTGACGGAGTCGCAGGGCGGCGTTTTGGTGGGCTCGGTGCCCCGCGCCCCTCGCCCCCGCCCCCCGCGCGGGCCTTCCGCCGGCGCCCGGCGGCGCGCGCGGGGGGCCGTCGTGGGGGGCGCGGCGATAGATAGTGTTGGCGACATCAATATCCTATAACCCACGGGCGTTTGGCTTCACCGCCTCCGTTGGCTCGCGCTGGGCTGAAGGGCGCGAGGTCATCGAGGCGCAGGTCGGTCTGGATTTCCTCGGCGACGCCGGCGGGTCGAAACCATTCGGCGAGCGCGTTCGCTGCGCCCTAGCTGCGCCCCATGTTGCCCCTGAAGGCGGGGCGGTTAGCATCGCGGTCTTTCGCGCGCCCGCGGTGACAGAGGCCCTCCTTCATGGATCTGAGTTGCCTGGAGAGCTCGCCCAAATCATTGGCCGCTCGGTTAGGGGCCCCATGCTCGGGGCTAATCAGCTGGGCCGCGGCGCCGTCTCGGAAAATCGGAGCGCGCCATGCCTGGCCGCTGGCGCGCGTTGCCCTTGGGGCGCGCTTCTGGCGCGGAGTTTGGTCTCGTGCGCGTGCGCGTCTCAATTGGCGAGACCAGACAGCTCGTCGACGTCGTCGGCGGCGTCGGCCGCGCCCTTCTGCGCGCGGTAGGCTTGTTCGAGGGCGCGTGGCTCATCGCTGTCCATGGCTGGGCGCGCCAGCGAGCGTGCCATGACCGCCTTCAATATTTTCACCGCTTGTCTGGCGACGTCCAGGTTGAGAGAGACTAGAGGAGCAGGGTGCTGCTTGGTGGGGTGATCGCGGAGCGGCGCGAAGTTGGTCACAGGCCGTTTGCTTAGTGCGCACGTATTTGATTCGGACGTTCCACGTGTCTGATGTTCTTCGGTCCCAGTCAAGGTCTTCGCTGTAGTTGCTGGAAGTTTCGCCCGGGCATCCCGCGGCGACGCTTGACCACGCCAGGTTACAGACCTGGACGCGGAAAGTCGAATCGTCGATGTTGCGTTGGGCGTCCATGCAGACGAAGTACGGTGCATCCCCGACCCTGCTTGCGGCTGCCCAAACCTCGTGGAAGAGCGGGGCGTTGTCCGCCCTCGATGTGGCAAAAGGACGCGACTCGGTCACTGGGGCCATGTCGACCCTTCCTACGACGCTTGGTGGCGTTCGGAGAGGGCATGGGGTAGTAGGCTCCAGTCCATCGTGCGGTCGCGAGGAGGGCCGAACGCGCTGGGTCGTCGTGAGTGGTGTCGGCAAGGGCATCTTGCGCAGCTATGCGCGTGCACCCGTGCTGAAAAGCAGCGGATCGGACCTGTGGTCGGCCCCCCCCCCCCGCGTGGTTTTTGCATTGAGCGTAATCAGCTTCGGAATTGCCCCCACCGAGACATGTCGTCAAGCCCGCTTATTGGATGATCGGAAGCTCCTGTCGAATGGGTGGTGAATGCGGTCAGCGGGGTGGCGGAGTTCTTGGAGGGCCATGAGGGTGTTCTCGGAGTCCAGTCAGAACGTTTTTTTGTTCGCATCGAAGCTGGTGGCGTTGATGATATCGAGACGAGCCATATGCGGGACGCCCCCACCAGGGGAGCTTGGATCTCATCTGGTCGTTCGGGGGCTCCACCTAGAAAAGCTTGGCCTAGATTGGCTCCTGAGGCGTTCAGCCTCGACCGCCCGCGCCCTGGAGGGGCCCGAACATCGCGCCACGGGCACGGGGGGGGACCCCCCCCACACACACACACACACACACACACACACACACACACACACACACACACACACACACACACACACACACACACACACACACACACACACACACACACACACACACACACACACACACACACACACACACACACACACGCACACGCACACGCACACGCACGCACGCACGCACGCACGCACGCACACACGCACGCACACACACGCACGCACACGCACGCACGCACACACACACACACACACACACACACACACGAAAACGCACACGAAAACGCACACGCACACGCACACGCACACGCTCACGCACACACACACACACACACACACACACACACACACACACACACACACACACACACACACACACACACACACACACGCACGCACGCACGCATGCACGCACGCACGCACGCACGCACGCACGCACGCACGCACGTACGCACGTACGCACACACAGACACACACAAACACACACACACACACAACACACTCCAGACCAAACAGCGGCGGCGGCCAGAGGGAGGAGGAGGAGGAGGAGGAGGAGGAGGAGGAGGAGGGGAGCGACACGACAACAGCGGCAGCCCACACGACGGCGGTGGTGGTGGTCGGCACGACGAGGGGCGGCACCGCCTCCGTCATCGTCGCCCGGCAAGGGGCCGCCGTTCCTGTGGCCACGCGAGCGCGTGGCCGTTTCGGCAGGTCCCGCGCCGGGGCCCGCCTCATCGATGGCCTCGCTGTCAATATTGTCCTGATGGTCTCCGTTGCTGCGAAGGTGGGCGTCCCCCAGCAAATAGGCCGCGCTGTCGACGTCAGGGTCGAAATCGACCTCCTGAAACTTGGAACGGGTTGGTCTCGTTTACTTCGGAGTCAGATGTTTCCAGGTTGACCTGGCCTGACCTTTTGTACAGGAGGTCAGAGAGGGAAAGAGAGAGATGGGTGCCGGGGGGGCGGGCATGGCAGGAGCAGGGAAATTTGGCCATGCCTTGAGTCCATCCTCCAAGGACTTCAATCTCCTTCCATCGAATTGGCGCTCTTGATGTGCAACTGTGCTTGGAATTGGTCACATGGGTGGTCGGGTTGCGACTCTGTCCTCAGAGGGTCTGCTTCGGCGCCCGAGAGCCTCGTCAGGAGGCCAATCTTTCAGAGTAGCGCGGGTTCTGGAGTTCACGACGTGAGTTTGCACCACAATTGTATTTTGGAGGATTCCACAATCGAAGGCTGCGGCATAAAATGGGGCATATAATGGCAGTTGCCGACGACATTTCCAACGCGAGCATCACGATGAAGATGCGTTGGTCTTCGGTTTTTTTGGAGAAGGTCGGCATGACCAGAGACAGCCGAAAATGGAAGCGGCGTGAGGACTTATCAATTACGGCGGAGGCGATGGCTCATACAGGAAATCACAAGATGGTGTAATTATGGGAGGGTGTGGCCGGGAAGGAGGACGATAAGGAGTTTTCATTTGTATCGAGCACAGAGACGGATCGCGTTGTCGTCACTGGGGACAGCCAATTGGTTTTCCAGTGGTTGAACGGAGTCTACCGCTGCACCAACTTTCGCGCAGAGACCGAGCGCACTCCAGTCCGCGCGCCCTGGACGAGTGGTTGCGGACAGCATGGGCGCAATCACTTCGACGTGTTGCGGACTGGTGCTGCTGGGCTACGCAATGAAGCAGCACCAAAGTGGACGCCACGGCCGCACCATGAACACGAGGCACGTCACGCCGAACAAAACTGTCGCCATACACGTACACACGCACGCGCACACGCTCCGTTCTAGATCTTACACCACCAGAGCGTCAAGCTGCAGTCGTATTTCGACGCAGGCCGTAGAGCAGAGAGACGCCCAGACGGCAGGCTGGGTGGTTGGAGGCGGAGTCAGGGAGACGACGGGGTAGGTCATGAGCGAGTGCGTCGTGAGGGCGTGTAGCAGAGCAGCCCATGTTGCAGAGTTTCTGCTGTTGTCTCAGACACTGAAGCTGTGGCCCCCAGTGGCAGAGGGATAGCAAGGCTATATTATCGTCCACCTCCTCCCGCCGCCTCCCTTCTCATCCATTTCCTGCTCCCTCCATGCTCCTCCGCTCCTCCTCACCCGCCCTCCCCGGCCCCCCGCCTTGGACCGAAGCCGGCGCACCTCGCTCGCCTGACCGCTCTCACCGAGGTCCACCCGGACGACCGGCCGTTGCCCGAGAGCCCGTACGCCCTCGGCCCTTTGGCATTTGTGCACGTTGCCGGCCAGGAGGCGTTCGGCCACGGCTGCCGCCGCGGCCGCCGCTCCAGGGGCGCCGCGAGGGCTGTAACCTCCATGTGGCCCTCCCTCATCTGCCCCCCCCCGAGTGGCGGGTCTGCCCTCCTGATCCTGCTGCGGTTCATTCTCCTCCTGCTCTTGCTCATCCGCACCGCTGTCGTCGTCACTACCGTCATACTCGCCCTTCGCATCGGAACGGGAGCTACACTGCGGGCGTCCTGAGTCTAAGGGAAGTCGGCCCAGAGCGGCCCTAGACCGCGAGCGGGCGGACCATGGGCTGGGCGAGCCTGCAGCTCTTGTAGACCGCGGGCTAGCCCATATAATATTCCAGCGTAGAGCAGCAGGCGGTGGACCCAGACAGCGGCAGTCGTCAGGCTGTGGCCACATCTCCGAGGGACCGCGAAGTAGAGGGCCATGTTTGGGGATTTCCGCTGGCTGGTTGTTGCGGCGAAGGGCCGTCGTGGCTGCACGAGAGGGCCCAGCCCAGTGCCAAAAGCCGACGCGAGCTGGGCCTGGGGCTTGCTGTAGAGCGGGCTTACGTCAGTCCGCCTTGCGTCGGCACAGTCGGTGCCGAACTCTTCTACGCACTACGTGGACCGCTTCGGCCGATTAGCTGGAGCAAGCACGGCGGCTGTTCCGGCTGCCAGGCGCACGTTGTCGCGTCCACTCGGAGGAGCAGGAGGATCCGATGTTGATTTGCGACGTGTGTGGAGGATCTTGTGTTGCGAGGGTTATCGGTTGGACTGGGGAGATTCAGACCTCCGAATGCTGAAGCTTTTAGCCTCCAGCCGCGCAGGGGCACGGCGGGGCGGAGGATGAGGAGACGAACATGAGATGAGTGTGAGTCGGAGAGAGAGAGAGAGAGAGAGAAAGAAAGCGAGATCGAGAGAGAGAGAGACAGAGACAGAGACGGAGACAGCAATCGAAGAAGAAGAAGAAGTCAGAGGCAGCAGCGTGGAATGGTCATTCTCCGCTGCAATGTCCAGGCGGAGAACCGCGGGCAACGCATCCTCCTCCTCTTCGTCCTCCTCTTCGTCCTCCTCATCGGCCTCCTCCCTCTCATCCTCCAGGCCCTCCATCTTCCTGTCGTGCTAATTGGCGTCCTCCTCCACCGGCACCTGCTCCTGCAACCCCGTGAAACATGACCACCCCTGCATACCCCTCATCATCGTCATTCTCCACCTCTCCTCCTCCTACTCCTGGCCGTCCTGCCCATCCTCCTCTTCCCGCTCCCTATCTTCCTCCTCTTCCTCTCCCTCCTCCTCCTCTTCCTCGTGCTACTGCACCTCCTGCTCCTCGGGCGGTTGCGCCCGCGGGCGGGTTGAAATGTATAGCCTGGTTGCGATTGCGGGTGCGCCCGCGGGCGGGTTGAAAAGTGTCGCTTGGTTGCGGTTCCGGTTGCGGTTGCGCCCGCGGGCGGGTTGAAATGCGCGGCCTGGTTTTGGTTGCGGTTGCGCCCGTGGGCGGGTTGAAATGTGTCGATTGGTTGCGGTTCCGGTTGCGCCCGCGTGCGGGTTGAAATGTGTCGCTTGGTTGCGGTTGCGTTTGCGGTGGCGCCCGAGGGTGGGATGAAATGTGTCGCTTGGTTGCGGTTGCAGGTTCGCCCGGCTGGGTTGAAATGTGTAACCAAAAGGAGCCTTCCAGTTCAGACACTTCAGCGCTGTTCAGATCAGTCGGTCAGTCAGCGGAGGGCACGGAAGTTTGCCCGGCTCCGCCAGGGAGAACGGCATACACAATTCGTCGGAATTCCGCTCAGATTTCTTGGATCGGCGCTGGCCCCCCTGGCGACACCGGTGGGGGTCCGCACATATCCAAGAAATCCGCGCGACCTCCAAAAGTTTGTGTTTAGACCGTTTTTTAAGGGAGGACTATACATATAGATAGATGAACAAAAAGGAAACCGCAGCGACGAAGGAGTACCGCCAGCAGCACAAACACGAGACGAGAAGATGCGGAGGGCAGAGAAGTTGAGTGGTGGAGGCAGGCATGCAGGACGGGCAGGCAGGCAGCCGTCGAATCGGGCGTCTGTCACAGAGTGGTCCAGCCCTCCCTCTCGCTCCCCTCACATGCTACCGCTCCGAAAGTTTTGGCAACGAGCGCACTTCTCGCCAGCGCGCGGCTTGTGAATCGATTGCTTTTCAAGCGAACCTGGCTGCCCTACATGGGAGGTACACCCGTATCGTTGCATCTTGCCAACTGGAACTCCCGGGACTCCATCTTAGGGAGAGGGGGAGGAGCATGCGGAAAAGGTGCGCGTTTTCCCTCGCGCTCTCGAGGGTCTTGCCAGACACCAGATGGACCAAACAGATCAATCAATGAGGATTAAAACAGGAGGAAGATACCGAGAAGCATAATTATTGTGTACAGGCGTACCCGAATATGATGACGAAATTCTTACAGGAGCGCAGTTGAGCCCAGATGGTTTTAGCACTGCCTGCTGCTGCAGCGGCTCGGGAAACAACATCGGCCGCACTGGCGCCAAAGTGTGGGCCGCAACGCGGCACCAACGCCTTGAGCGGCAATGCCTACGAGGAGGTTATGAGGAGGATGAGGTGCGCTGCTCCAGAAGGCGAAGGAAGAGGAGCAGGGGGAGGTTGTGTGCCTCGCAGCTTGCGTAAGAAAGTATAGGCGAGGCCTACGACAAAAAATAACCCTCCTCGTTGGCACGCGCGGCGGCGAGCCGGCTGGCCCGATCCGCGAACAAAGGCTGCGCCTCGCGGCCAAGCTGCTCAGCCTGGCCGTGCGTGCTGAATCAAAATGCCAGTAAGGCGACACACAGTGCCTCTCTTGGGCACGTCGCACCCCGCCGCACTGGAGGGCATGAGGAGGAGGAGGCCCAGCAGGACCAGGGGGGGGCGGAGGAGCAAGCGCAGCAGGCCAGAGCAGGACCAGCAGGCAGCAGCAGCCGCCGGGTCGCTGGGCCGGTGGCTCGGGCCCCGTGATTGCCTCAGGTGGGCAGCCAGGGCCACTCGAAGAGCAACCCGAAGGAGGCACGGCCAGCCCGCCAGCTCCTCGGGGCCTGCTGCGGGGGAGGATCTTCGGGCCCGGCTGGGCTCGAGACAGACTGTGGACGTCAAGTCTCAACGCTTCGCATGTCCCCACCAGCCCATGCATAAACAATGCCAAGGGGAGTTGTTTGGAGGAGGGCCGTAGCAGGCAGTCAATCAATGAAGGAAGGAGACCAATAATAGTGAAGTTAGAGCTCTGGGAGTCTCTTGGAGCAATCTCGGTGCCCTTTCGGAGGCCTTGTTGGCTCTCTTTTGGCCTTCTTGGGGCTTCTTGGTGCTCTGTTGGGCCACTCTTTGGGGAGTGGGGCGCTTGCTTGAAGCCATCTTGGAGACCATCGATGAAAGATGGGGGAGTTCCAAATTCACCCCTCCCGTCTGAGCCCGAACAATATCATCTTGAAGCCCCCTTGGGGCTCTCTCGGGGCGCTCTTATTGTCGTCTTGGAGCCTTCAATGGCATACCTTAGGGCTCTCTTGGGCTATCCAGGAGCCACATTGAGGCCTCAAAGCCCACCATACGCGAAAATGCGAGAAACCACAGATCATTGATCTCTCCATAGGTTGCTCGGTAATCGAGATTTTGCCGCCTTACAGATCGACGAAATATTTTGGTAAGAAGTTGCAAGTCAGCGAATTCCACGTCACCGAGCTGGAGAATTGCATCTACTTCGATCTCGAGCCCTGGGCAGAGTACATTCGACAGTCCACCCACAAAGCTGAAGGGATGATGGGCAATTGGCAAATCACTGATTGGGTATCGACCCAACGCCAAAGAAAGTGGAGATGGGCCCCGATGGTTTGCAGTGTGGCAGAATGTGAATGGACATCCCAGGTGTTACGATGGGACCCTCAGTGCTACTCAATGCGCGGTGCACGACGGCAACCGGGACATCCGAGTAAACGGTGGTCGGATGACATTGCATGCTACGCCGGGAACGACTGGGCGTCCGAAGCCTTATCTGACAAATGAGATGTATTTGAAGCAGCTTATGTAGGCAGGACGGAGCCTGATCTGTCTTTATAGTCTGTTTCACGTTGTAGCATGTACATGTGTGTGTCGTTTGTTCACTTGTCTCACACTTGCCCGGTGCCACGGCGCCAACCTGCGACGCCCCCGCCGGCGACAGCTGCAGGTCCGATGTCCGATGTCCGATAGGTGGCTCGGAAGTCACTTGGAGCGGTCTCGGCGCGCTCTTGCGACCTCTTTGGAGGCGCGCTGGAAGCTATATTGAGCAAGCCTGGACCAACTTGTGTCATCTTGTAGGCCATATGGGGCCCAGTCGGAGCAATCTTGGGTCAAAAAGGGTCTCTTACAACTCGGGGCCGCCCCCGTCCAAACCCAGGGGGGTAGGAGGACTGGTCGATACACTTCTCCCAGACACGAAGTGTTTGGCTCACGCCCACCTGCCCTCCCCGCACATAAGTAGCACCCGAGTCACAGTATGTCGCCTAGGAACGCCACGCATGTCGTGTGAGCCACGGGCTCGGCTCCATGTGCACCAGGCGCCCCGGAGGCCCAAGCGTGCCAGGCGAGCCAGGTGCGCCCCGTGCTCCGCGTGCGCCATGTGTGCCCCGTGCCCCAACCGCGCCATGTGCGCCACGCACGCGGCGCGCGCAGAGTGCGCCAGGTGCGCCACTGAACAGCCGTCATCCGATGGACAACGATATGAAAGCAATGCAGATCCCGGGCGCCCCGGGCTTCGACCCCACGGAGTCTACGATCTTGGACCCCCCCGTGACGCGAAGTGCCGAACAATCAAAGAGAAAGGCGTTTCCCTCAGCGAGCACACAGAAACGGCACTGATGGACAACATGTGACATTTTGAGGAGCCGTAGGACACGTGACAGCTCAGAGAAAAGAGCGCCCCCTTGGAAGAGTGCGAAGAGGATGCCGTAAGAAACCAAAGTGATCGCGGGGTGCCCGCGCATGATCCAAATGACGCCGTAAAGAGCATATTGTGTTGTTTATTGATAAGCGTGGCTGGCCTGTGCGCGGCAAACAATCTGCCGGCACCCCTGCCGCCCCCGCAACCAAAACAAAAACAGGGTCGCGGGGCGCCCGCGCATATTCCATATTAGAAGGACACAGGTCTATTGTTTTCTTTGATATGCACGGTTGGCCTGCGCGCGGCGAGCAGTATGCCGGCACCCCCGCCGCCCTTTTTGATATTATCATCCAAAGTAGTGGTGCGGCGCCCATGCGTGCTCCAGACTTGGAGGGAAATTGTATGTTGGATCATTGTTTCACAACCCTCTGTTGGTTGGGTTCTCGATTTGGATTGACAACTGTTTGCGCGTCTCACTCCTTCCGCCTCCTTTCCTTTTCTCCCCCTCCCCCTCTTCTTCCTCCTTCCCTTTCCTCCTGCCCCCTAGTCTCCTTTGTTCGTGCCCTTTTTTTGGTGTCGGGTTTCGAGCTGCGCGATTGTCGCAATTTTCAGTGGATCCTTGGGAGGCACGGCGTAGATCTTTTTGGGAGGCCTTGCGGTTCCGTCGGGGGCTGCCAATTGCACAACCGTCGCCACTTCCGTAGGCTCCCGAGAGGCACGGCGGAGTGCAGGGCCACGCGGATTTTTTTCAGACCTCGTGGTTCCGTCGGGGGTTGCGAATTGCACATTTGTCGCCACGTTCGTGTGCTCCTGGGAGGCACGGGAACGCCAACAACACGCCTGCACAGACCCTTGACATGTCCGATCATTCTGGGCCAACGATCGGCGTTCATCCTTTTTCGGCCCTGGCCAGGATGGCGTACATACCTATTCTGCGCCCAGGCGTCCAAGAGCCCAAACGGCACCAGACAAGTTCACAACAAATGGTCCTCAGTCCTCGTTCTAGGCTGTCGCCGTCGTGTACATTCGGCGGTATTTCTGGGGGTGGTTCTCTATCCGTGGCGATTGTTTGCATCGGCCAATGCCTGAAGGGAATCCTAGACGCTTCGCGTATCACCGCCAGCCCATCCAGAAACGATGTCCATGAGAACAGAAGGGACACTCAGGGAGAGACACATAGTGAAAACAAGCGGGCAGTCAGGATGAATTGAGGATGGGGTTGGAGGGTCTCTTGGGGTCATATTTGGGATTCGCGTCGGAAAGTGAGGAGGAGGAGGAGGAAGCGAACCAAGAGGAGTAGGAGTAAGCAGGAGACAGGAGGAGGAGGGGGAGGAAGAGCGAAGAGGAGACATGAGGAAGTGAACAGGGGATAAGAAGGGGGAGGAGGAGGGCGAGGAGGCTTTTGCGGATTTGTTGTTTGCGAGAACCCCATGGAGGCGGACTCTTGGGCCCCTGTTGTAGCCCTCTTGGGGACCGCTTGGAAGCCCTCGGAGGCCTTTTAAGGCCATCTTGGAGAGCATCGATCAATGGAGTGGGGGTGGTCCTCGATTTCGCCCCCTTCCCCCCCCCTCCCCCTTCGCTGGAGGCCTTACAAGACGCTTGGCGTCCTCTTGGGCCCCTTTTGGGGGCATCCTGGGGCCATCTTGAGGCCTGGGAAGCCTATTGGAAGCGAAAAGACGGGAAGGGAGCACACGTTCGAAACACACATTTGTGTTTTGCGGGATTTTGTCGTCTTGGGGGGGTCCTTAGAGAGTTGCGTGAGCACTTGAGGGAGGGAGGGGGGGACGGTGGGGGGAGGGGGAGGCAAGCTAGGTGCGCTAGCGTATACATATAACGCCGCACCGGGCCCGGGGGCCCCGGGGCCGCAGCCTCGACCGCAAATCCCATATGGGGGGACGTCGGGCCCAGCCCGCTCCCCGGCGGGCCCCAGGTCGGTCCCCGGAGCGCCCAGACGGCCGTCCAGGCGGCCCAAGGCCGCCCAGAGCCACCGCTCCAGACGCCTCCAAGACGCTCGAAGACCCCACCAAGAGATCACCCCAGACGGCCCCGGGAAGCAAAAATAGCCCCCTTCCTTTCCTAAAACGTACATTTGTACCATGTTCGATTCTTTGTCCTTCGTACCGTCCTTTACGACCTCAGACTCTCCCTAGACCGCCCCAAGACGGCCCACGAAGCCCACAAGAGAGCCCCAAGACGGCCCCAGAGGGGCCCAGGACAGACCAAGAGGCGCCCAGAACGGCCCAAACGCGTCCCCGAAGGGCCCCAAGAGGGGCCCAAGACGGGAAACCCAACTGAACCTTCCAGCCCCCCCGCCCCAGGAGGCCCCCAAGAGGCCCCAAGAGACCCCCAAGAGGCCCCAAGAGGCCCCCAAGACGCCCGCGGCAGGCCCCAAAGGGCCTCCAGAGGTCCCCCAAGATGCTTCCAAGAGGCCCCCCGAGGTTCCCAGGAAGCCCCCAGGAGACCCCCAAGAGGACCCCTAACGGGCTTCTGAGAGGCTTCCCCAGAAACCTTCATGTACGTCTACATGCGGCCTCCGGTCCAAAAACCTGAGACCGTTCCTGGGACGCCGCCGGGGCCGCCGGGCTCCAACAGCCAATTGAGGAAGCACGGAGAACCCCCCAGAAGCCCTTCAGATGCCCCCACGAAGACCCAAGAGGTTCCCAAGAGGCCCTCAGGAGGCACGACTATGTCACGCGCCTGTGCTTGATAGCGCTGTCCAAGATCTTGTAGCGCGCCCCCGGCCTGGGCTAGAACCTGAGCGCGCGCGAAGCGCGCGCGCGATGGTTCTAGTTACATCTGACGTCCTACCCCTCCCTCCCATCCCTTACCATGGCGTAGATCTCCCTATTCGCACAGTGGGATGTCGAGCAGGGCATTGATCGCAAGAAGGTACGCGATGAGTGGAAAAGCAGGGCGTAGAAGAGTACAGCAGAGCATAGCATGTCATAGCATGGCGTGGCATTGCGTAATGAAACATTGCATCACAAAGCACAGGAACGCACAGCTGGGCATCGCACAGCGGTGAACAACAAAGCATCGCACTGCAAGCCGTGGCATGGCACCGGATAGCTTGGAGGGTAAATAGCCCATCTACGAGAAGACAGGGCAGGTCCGGAATGTCGGCTTCATGTCCTCCGCAACCGTGCTTGCCCGATGTGGGCGTTTTCGAATGTCAAGTGCAGTCCGGAGGCGCGGGAACGAGGCCAGCGTCGCAGTGGGAGTACGATTTTGAATGACGGAAGCGCGGAAATGAGGGCGGCGCTGTAGCGGGAGCACCATTCTGGCAGAACCAGAAATGACCAGATTGAAATTACCCTGGCGGCGTACCCAACCCCTGCGCACTGCGTGGCACGAGTAGCCTGGGACACGTTATATGCAGAGGTGATGACGTGACATGGGCGCATATAATTCTGCGATCGGCATTCGTGAGGCTCGCAACCCCCCAGGGATGGCGAGGTCCCGCTCAGATCTGCGCGGTGCTTCACTCCGCTGGACCCACCAGCAGCCCTCGAAAGTGGCGACGGTTCAGCAGATCGCAGCCCCCCAGGGACGGCGAGGTCCCGCTCAGATCTGCGCGGTGCCTCACTCCGCTGGACCCACCAGCAGCCCTCGAAAGTGGCGACGGTTTCGCAGAATGCAGCCCCCTTCCAGGGACGGCGATGTCCCGGTCAGATCCGCGCGGTGCCTCACTCCGCTGGACCCACCAGCAGCCCTCGAACGTGGCGACGGTTCAGCAGATCGCAGCCCCACAGGGACGGCGAGGTCCCGCTCAGATCTGCGCGGTGCCTCACTCCGCTGGACCCACCAGCAGCCCTCGAAAGTGGCGACGGTTCCGCAGATCGCAGCCCCCCAGGGACGGCGAGGTCCCGGTCAGATCCGCGCGGTGCCTCACTCCGCTGGACCCACCAGCAGCCTTCGAAGCCTCACTCCGCTGGACCCACCAGCAGCCCTCGAAAGTGGCGACAGAACCGAAGATCACAGCCCGCCAGGACGGCGATGTCCCGCTCAGATCCGCGCGGTACCTCACTCGGCTGGACCCACCAGCCGCCCTCGAAAGTGGCGACGGTTTCGCAGATCGCAGTCCCCCCAGGGTCGGCGAGTTCTCGCTCAGATCCGCGCGGTGCGTCACCCCGCTGGACCCACCGGCAGCCCTCGAAAGTGGCGACAATTTCGCGGATCGCAGCCCCCAAGGGACGACGAGGCCTCGCTAAGATTTGCGCGGTGCGTCACTCCCTCCGCTGGACCCACCAGCAGCCCTCGAAAGTGGCGACAATTTCGCGGATCGCAGCCCCCAAGGGACGACGAGGCCTCGCTCAGGTCTGCGCGGTGCCTCACTCCGCTGGGCCCACCAGCAGCCCTCGAAAATGGCGACGGTTCCGCAGATCGCAGCCCCCCAGGGACGGCGAGGTCCCGTTCAGATCTGCGCGGTGCCTCACTCCGCTGGACCCACCGGCAGCCCTCGAAAGTGGCGACGGTTTCGCAGATCGCAGCCCCCCCCCCCCCCCCAGGGACGGCGAGGTCCCGGTCAGATCCGCGCGGTGCCTCATTCCGCTGGGCCCACCAGCAGCCCTCGAAATTGGCGACAGTTTCGAAGATAGCAGCCCCTCAGGGACGGCGAGGTCCCGCTCAGATCTGCGCGGTGCCTCACTCCGCTGGACCCACCAGCAGCCGTCGAAAGTGGCGACAGTTTCGCAGAACGCAGCCTCCCCCCTCCCCCCCAGGGACGGCGAGGTCCCGCTCAGATCTGCGCGGTGCCTCACTCCGCTGGACCCACCAGCAGCCCTCGAAAGTGGGCGAGAGAAGAATGAGCATAAGGCGGTTGCATCCAGCTCCTCCCGCTCCAATGCTGGCAATCTCCATCTTCTCCTGCACATCTCCCCAGGAAATCTCGTCAGGTCCTTGAGGTCGTTCCTCCTCCGCCTGCTCCTCCTCCTCTCTCCTCCTCCTCCTCCTCCACCACCACTTCCTCCAACTCTCCTCCTCCTCCTCCACCTCCTCCACCTCATCCTCCACGTCCACGTCCTCCAACTCTCCTTCGGAGGAACCTGCTGAGATGATGGCTCGTTGCCTCTTCCCTTCGCCTTCCTTTTGCCTCCCCGTGACGGAAGTCCCTGAAGAGAACCAAGTGCGGTTTGTGGGAGTGTTTCTTGGTTGGAGGTTCTCTGGCCTCGTGTTTGTCGACGGTTCGGCTTTCCACAGTCATCTTCAGGGACTGAGTCGGGCAGGTTGGGCTGTGATTCAGGTTAATCGAGCAGGAGAGCTCGTCGGAGCCATGTACGGCGCTGTGCCGTTCCATCAGGCGCCCACGCAGTCCGCGCGCGACGGAGAGGACTGGGCTTTCTATATGTTCTCTCAGTTGGCAGAGTGGTCTGTAGAGGATCCCTTAGTTGTGCATACGGATTGTGCAGGTACATTCGGTTGTGCTACAGATTCGAGTGTTGCTTTGGCCAGTTCGAATGCACGTGCGCACATGTGGAGGACCTGGTGGTCTGATCTGGGTAAGAAGGCTTCTATTGTCAAGGTAGCTGCTCACAGGAGCTTGAGGGACGCCAGGTCCGATCATGACGCGTGGCTCATCAAGGGCAACGCTCTGGCCGACAAGTGGGCCAAGGCGGGAGCGAAGCTTTGGAATGTGCCTCGAGACCATCTAGACTTTGTCTCGGGGTGTGAAAGGATTGCCTCGGATATTGTGCGCTGGCAGAGTAGACGTCAGGAATTTTTCGGAGAGCTAGAGCAGCCAGATTATGTAGAGCTTTCTGGGACGGGGGACATCGTGTTAGATGAAGACCTGCCTCAGGATGTAATTCGTGCCTGTCTGGAGGAAGGTAGAGCACCGTTTGGAGACTGGTCCTTGGCCGAGGGGGTTGAGACTGGTCTTTCCTCTGCTCCTCCCCTCCCCTCCCCCATTGAAGGTACGGAACCCCCCCATGGTGTCGACGCTGGCTTTGTCGCTGCAACAGGTGTTCCTTGGGTTTTTAGAGGGCACAGTGTTGTGCAGGCCAGCGTCGCATCAGAGCAAGGCCAGGAACAGTCGCCAATTTTATGTTGTAAGATCTGCGGCGCCGCAGCGCATTCTAACGCTCGGGGGCTGCATGGAGAGTGCAAGGGAACGGGCCATCCAGGGCTCAAGACCCAGAGGTCCAAGCTCCGACGAGGTCTGTTCCCAGGGCACACCCTAGGTAATGCTCGTGTAGGGGCGGCCCATGGGCCGACCCTTCAGATGCGTGCTGTTCGGGGGCCTCTTCTCGAGCCTGCCCCTGCTCCTGCTGCTGCTGGTTCGAACAGCGGTGCTGTAGGTGTTGAAGGGTCGGTCGAGGCCCAGACGTCGGCGGGGAGCGTGATGCCCCGCGCCTCTGGGGAGGCGAAGCAGGCGTGCCGACTGCTACGCCTTCCCTGCCTTGACGCCACCAGCGTCGCCAAGTTGCATGGGTTCTCCTCGCCTGATGAGCTTATTCGGTGGGAGAGGTCCCGTCAGAGAGCTCTTGAGGAGCCTGAATTAATCGACGAGGAGTAATTCGTGGCCGTGCGGTCAGGGGCGCCATGTGGCGCCCGCGTAGTCAGTACCCTCAGTACCCTCCTATTCCTACGTATACTCCCTCTCCTACTCCTAACTATTACTCCTATTTTTACTCTTATTTTCTCCTCTTACTCCTACTCCTACTGATGTTCCTGTTCCTACTCCTAGTCCTACTCCTACCCCTCCCTCACCTCCTCCTCCTCCTCCTCCTCCTCCTCCTCCCCGCCTCAGGAGACAAGAAGGAGGAGGGGAGGGGCGGGAGGCAGGAGGCGGGAGGCGGGAGGGGGAGGAGGACACGACCGCAGTGTCCTATTCAAAACGAATACCAAACCAAAGAGGGTTGGGAAATTGAAAAACACATGTGAAAAGAAAAACAAATGAAATCTTGTGAGTAAAATAAACAACATGCTGAGAGAACGGGACACTCTCCGGACAGAGTCAGGGCAGAAAGGAGATGTGTATCCATATTATGTAAATGTGAAGAGGTGCAAACATGCGCTCGGCCAGAACGGAGCAGGGGTGGCGCTCCCAGTGGTGCCGCGCGCAGGTTCAGTGCGTGAAGCATCTCCTCGAGGCTCTCTGTTGCGAGCCCGGCGAGGTACCTGGGGGCGGCCGCTCGCGCTGCCGCCAGCCGTTGATCAGCACGCAACTTGCACGTTCACCGCCAGTGATCCTTGGTCCAGATCAGTGCACCCGCCGCTCCAAGGTGCCTCCACCGTTGCCCCAGAGGGGCACCTCTTGACGGCCCGGGAAAGGGCTCATTTGAAAGAGTTTGTTTGTGCTGCTTAGCTCCAGAGGAAGTCATGGGCTGGGTCGATTTCGGCGGCAGTCTTGGGACGGCATCCGAGGGCCCCAGGGGTGCCCCCCCAAACGGAACAAGGGAGTCCCAAAAGGGCCCCAGTGGGCCGCCAAGACAGCCAAAGGGGGCAGGAAGGCCACTCGAGGCCCCAAAAGGGTACTTGAGGCTCCCACGAAAGGCCAAGAATCCAAGACATTCCAGGAGACATTGCCAACATGGCCCAAGGGCACCCCAATCCATCGTTGATTGTCGAAGAAAGCCGCAAGAGAGCCTCAACTGGATCCAAAGAGGGCGTCAATATACCGCAGGCTCCCAAGAAGGGAGCCAAGACGCCCAAAAAGGCCTGCACGTAAACCAGAAAAGCCAAGCTATGCGACGAAGGCTTGCGACGAAGGCGTCCACAATGCCCCCAAGATGGCCTTAGAGGGATCCTGCAGGGGAGCTATACGTACCATACACTTTCAACGCTTCTCAAGGCTTGCGAAGGAGCTTAGAGCCGCCGTCAATCGAGGAGGCGGACAGGCCAACATGCATGTACACAAGCAGACACGGCGAGAAGGCTGACAGCCAAGAAGGTGGCCAGCTGAGAAGGCGGAGTGCCCTGCGGCACATTGCGCCATCGTGTTCGGAGCTTCGGGTGATGGGAAATCTACGTCCCCTAGGAAGCCTCAGGGGCTTGGGATTCTTCGGGTCGTCTTGAGTGGGAAAAGGTCCTTGGCACATGGCCCAGCGCACCCTGTGGGGCCAAAGGTGTCGAAGAACATGATTGTTCCCAGGAAGCTTGCGCGCCACTCTTGCATGTTCTGCTTCGTTGCTCAAGGAATCCTCAGCGACCTGTCCTAACGTCTCTAAGTATGACCCGTCGGTGACCCCAAATACCAGCAAAACCACTGATCGCCATTGACGTCGTCAACCCGGGCTCCGACCCCTCTGCGCTCGGAGCCCATCAGCATGAATACGCGTGCCCGTTTGGCATACTGGCCTTTTCTTCGGGTAATTCGCCAGACCCCCATCACGATGTTCTAGTGCCACCACTGCGCAGCATTGCTGCCATCATCGATTTTCTTTGGCCTCCATGGACCCTCCATGGGCCGTCTTGGGCCTCCATGGGCCAGTCGGCGGTCTTGCGGTAGTCTAAAGGTAATCATTGGCAGTGTTTAGAAAGTTTGAGCCGCATTGTCGTATGTCATGGATTCTTGAGGCTTCCTCGAGAGCCTGTTTCGTCCCTCTTGTGGCGGTCCAGAGCTAGCCAGGGCCTGCGTGAACTCAGTTGTTGCAGTTCATGTTGCCATGAATGGGGGAAGTGACATGTATTATCGCATTACATTTGCCCGTACATTTTAATTTCGACGTTCGCTTCCCGCGAAGCAATGGGACTCGGCACAGGGCAACCCGCGCGGCAACCACCTGACAATCCGCGAAACAACGTAAGGAACAACTACGGGAAAACCCGCGGACAACCAATGGGGTAGCCACGGGACAACCACTGGACAACCCTGCGCACCACCGCGAGACGTGCTGGGGGCATTTGCTTGATTGGGTCCTAAGTTGTCCCAGCTCATCACCGCCCTCGCGCATCTTCGTATCGCCAGCGCGCGCAGCGCGAACCGACACTGCAACCGATATCCAGGTTGGGGCCACGTTACCGCAATCAATGATGCGCACGTGTGGCTAAACGTCTGGAGAGATCAGGCAATCTTCCTGGGACGAAGCGAGGAATCAGTGGGGGATGAACGGAGTGGGATCGGGAGGTTGGGGACGTGAGCGACAGAGGGGAAAATAGGGTACGGGGGAGGGCGGAACAGATGGTTTCGCCGACGGCTGGTTTCGCCCAGCCGGTTTTTCCCAGCTGGTTTCGCCGACGGTTGGTTTCGTTTGGCTGGTTTCTCCGACCCGCCCGATAGTTCCGACCAGCTGGTTTTGCCAACCTCCCGTTAGAGTCCCGCTTGTCCGACCAGCCCGTTAGGGTATTGCCCGTTTGCGTGGTGGTAAGCCCGACCCTTTTGAAGTCCCGCCCGCCCCACCCTCCAGTGAGGTTCGAAAGCAGCGCCGGCGAAACCAGTTCATGCCTTACATGGAGGGTGGACTCACGCATCCGATTCACTACTAATAGTTTCAATCCGCGGGCCTCACAGGTCCCGAACCTGTTCCCCAGGGTAAGTTTATCGTCCTAGATCAATATTGTTGGTCCTGGGTCCCGACAGCGGGCACCACAGGCCGAAATGAATGACAGGTCGCCAGGATTAAACAGTTCAATCCACCCGAAGCTTGACGATGGAAGGCATGGCGAATCCGAATCCTCGTGCGTTCCGCCCTCCTGGGCTTCCCCTCGTCTCCCGGCCGGCAGGTGGGCGTCATCACGCCCTACAGCGCGCAGGCAGTTGCCATCCGCCGCGCGCTGAGCTCCCCGCAGGGCGCGCAGGTGGCTTCGGTGGACGGCTTTCAGGGCTCGGAGAAGGAGGCCCCGAAGGGGTGGGAAGAGGTAGGGCTGCGACCACCACCGCCTTGCTGACGCCGTCTATCGCCTCGCTCTATCCGCCTCGCGCGCTGTGGCGAAGACGGTCCTGTGTGCGACCCCGCGGGCAGGGCGCTCTGCTGTTTGGGGAGCGTCGCAGACATGGCCAGACATGGGAAGCCTGAACAGCAACAGGCAGGCAGGGCAGTGGGGCCCTGCACGGGCCAGGGACCGGGAGGGGAGAGACGGGGCAGAGCAGGCAGGGCAGGCAGGGCAGGGCAGGGCAGTGGACAGCTAGGGAGGGGCCGTGGGGGGAGGGCGCAGGGCAGGGCACGAGGAGATTCCCGGGGCAGGTGTTCGGTCGTGGCCGCCTCCAGCAGGGCCAGGCCAGGCGCATCTGTAAAGTAGTAGCAGCCTCGGCCTCCTCGCCTGGCACCTCCCCCTCGGTTGAGATCCAAAGCGCTTGCCTCTTCAGCCAGCCACCTCCTTCAGTAGCAAATGATGGGGGCCTTGTGTAGCGTCTGGTAATCAATGACATCACGCCGATTTGGAGTCGACTAGCGTCGATTACCGTCGACCAACAAGATGGTAGGGGAGGCTCCCACGAGTTGCCACCGAAATCTCTTGGCGACCTGGATGCGGGCAATGCCGATGGCTTGGTTCTGTGGTCTGTCTTAGAAAGTTGGCGTCTGCGCCTCCTTGCCGATCTGCTCTTTGGAGGCGAGCTTCGTTCGAGCGATCGTGAGCCCTGTCGTGGAACGGCTGCTGCTTGCGAGCCATGGTCCGCAGGGGTGTATGGGGCACACAGAAGGGTTCGAGTGCCTTTTGCTGTGAGGTCATCGTCCTCTCCTTGGTGAGGTCCAACCCGCAGGGCGACCTCGGCTTCGTAGCGGATTGGAGACGCTTGAATGTGTCTATCACGCGGGCGCGCTGCCTTTCCTCGGTTGCTCTCTTCCACGCGCCTGTGGCATTAGAGTCCACGGTCGATTCTTTCGACTTGTAGTGTACAAGTTGTTTAGTTATCCCAACGGCTGGATGCCACGTGATGAGACGGATCATTGAAGTTACATAACGGGAATGAGATGCAATCGTAGAAATAATAAGTGAGGATATCGAGAACGGCAGAGGGGTGACGATGAGGACGGGTGGTCATAGGGCACGGGAAAATTAGGAAACCGATCAGGGAATGGAGGGCCTCTTGCCAGTTTCAGCGAACCGTCCCGTTGCTCTGGCTCCTTTTGGAGAGTGTTAATTCGGATGCTCTGTTTTCTTCCGCCATGCTTGCGGACTGGAGTTGTCTTGCCGAGGAGCTTTCGGAAGAGGGTTCGCCTCAACGTCTGGGGTGTGTCGTTTCAGTCACGAAGGGCCTTCATGTATGGTCCTACTAGTAGCGTCAGGAGGTTCGATCGACGATGCTGCTATTATGTTCAATTCTTCCACTTCTCACACACCAACGCGAAGTAGCACTCGATGGTAACCCTCACTCTCAGAGGTTGTCCACAAGAGGCGCAGGATGGCTCTTTAGCCATCCTCACGCCTTCCGAGGGATATGCCTAGAGAACATGAGCTGCAGCATCTCTTTACTGGACCAGCCTCATCGGCGATCGAAAGAGCTGAAGCCAGAGTAGGCTAGGATGCGCGACGTCGAGACTACGTTTTCAGCGTTGTTCCAGAAGGTGGAAGAGGAGCTTGCCACGGCTCTCGTCATCGACCTGCTGGAGGCCCCGAAGTTAGACTTGTGGTGGTCAGGTCAGCCACCTCGGTGAGTTTGCTGTTGTGGGCAAGGGCTCTCGTCATCGACACGCCAGCTCCCGTGACCTTAGGAGATGCTTACCCAACGGGTTCAGCAGAGTCTTGTGAGTAGAGATAGGCTGCGAAGGAATTGGGTCTACGCAGACGAATGTGGACTTCCTTACGTTGATCACCGACTTGACTTGCACGCAAGTTGCGACCCCAGGATGCCGTGGAGTCATTCGCAGGATCGATGACACCGCCGTGGCTTGCGGCAGTTTCGTCGAGGGGAGGACTTCCACGGTGGGCTCTTGCCTGACGCTCTGAAACACATCCTATTCTTGAGGTTTCCCTGCGGCCACGGTTTTGACTTTGGGCGGAACGCAAGCATGTCCGATTGGGAACGACTGCCCCTACACGCTCGCCTTCAGCGATTTACTGGGACGCCGACTCACGTTAATGTATCTAAGAGCGGCCGCTGATGTACCGTTGCTGCCGACTGCTGTTACTATCGACCCTCACCGTGCACGTTCTTCCGAAGGGGGCGTCGTTGAGCCTCCTTGTCGCTGGGATAATGTTCGGCGCATCGCGCTGCCTTTCCCTGCCGGTGACCTTTCGCCGGAGTGGTACCTTTGGTGCGGGCCCACAGGGGTGGCCCCAGCATTGGCCCGCACGCTTGGATTTGGGCCCTGCGTGGTCCCCTAAAGCAGCGCACAAAAGGTCAGTCTTGCCCAGGGTCACTCTTGCGTGTAGTCGGCATTGGCGCTGGGCAGTCCTCTTCTTCGTTCTATGTGTCCCCCAGCTTCTTAAGCTGCCTTTGCCGCTTCTGCTCTTCCTGCTCCCCCACCTCCCTCCTTGTCCGTCTCCTCTTCCGTCACCGTCTCCTCCGCCGTATCTTTGTACCTCCAAGCTCCTTGCCTTCCCTCCTCGTCATTCTCCCGTTCCTGCTCCTGATTGTCACTGCTGGAGCTGCTACTCATGCTGCTGCTGCCGCAGGTGCTTCTCCCTCCTGCTCCATCCCTCATCCTCCATCCCTCCATCTCCATCCCTACTCTTCCTCCTCATCCTGCTCCTCCTCCTCCTCCTTCCTACTCCCTCTTGTTCCTCTTCCTTATTAGTTTCTCCTGCCTTATCTTTACCACCAGCTCTGCACCTCGCCTCCCCTTGCCAGGCGCGCTCGTTGCTGATCATCGTGGGGAACCTTCTGACGCTCGCGCAGAACGAGCTGTGGCCAGCCACGCGTATCATGGGCTCCACTCGTGCTTTGAACTTACGTTCGTTCTTTTTTACGACCCCCAAACCAATCAGCAATCGCCCAATCATCAGTATAGTTAGGTAGTTTGTACGTTTCCCGTGTGGCGTTCTTTGTAATTGATGTCGTGAAGAGTTGTACGTTGCTTGCATGACGACAGTGCTGATTGCCGCACCAGGCGCTATGTTACGTTCCCCACTTTTCGGGCTTCAATGGCCTTGCGTGTTGCCACCGCTGGTTGCCGCCATCAGCTTCAACATTCCCCCGAGCTGATTGCCGTCACTGCCCTCTACCAGCCCCAACTGGCCCATCTAGCCCTGCGTGTCTCCATGGTTGCCTTGCCCAGCCCCTACTTGTTGGTAGCCGACTGGCCCAGCATGATCCAACTTCCCATGCCCGTTGCAAGCATGCCGCCGCCGCTAGCTGTCTACTGATCCCCTCCCCTAATCTCTCGGCGCTGGTTGCTGCCGTTCGCTCTTCCAAAGTACAGGACCACTTCTCAGCCACAGCCCTGACCAGTCCAACAAGCCGTGGGTGGCGCCAACGCTAGTTTCTGCCAGAAGGTTCAACCACGGAGCCACACTGCCTCTGCTGCCGCTTGATGCGCATGTATGCGCACCGCTCCGCTCATCCTGGCCCGAAGGGCATCGTGAGTGCGCTGCGCTCCGCTGGTGCGCCTCCCTTGCCAGCTCGTTCGGCGGCAGACACGTCGCCCTCGATGGATACACAAAAATTGTGCAGCGCTCTGAGGATGGTTCTGGTTACGCTTGGTTGTTGTGTTGTGAGGTTGAGGTAAACACGAGGCGAATCACTCGAAGAGCCAGCACAGTCCACAAAGCAAAGCCCCCGCCCCCCAGACAACACATACCTGTACGACCACCCTTCGGGTGATAAGGAGGTTGTGGGGGGGAGGAGGGGGGTGGGGAACCAACATCTGACTCGATCGATCTCACTCCACGGGACACCACGGGAAACCACGGGACACTTGTCGATCTCACTATCGACCTCGTTATCGATCTCACTCAACGGGACACCACGGGAACCACGGGACAACCCGGGACACCACGGGACACCGCGGGACGCCTCTCGATCTTATTATCGGTCTCGGTATTGACCTCATTATCGATCTCACTCAACGGGACACCTCGGGACACCTCGGGACACCACATCGATCTCACTATCGATCTCACTATCGATCTCATTCAACGGGACACCACGGGACACTTCGGGGCACCATATCGATCTCGGTATCGATCTCATTATCGATTTCACTCTACTGGTCACCACGGGACACCTCGGGGCATCACATCGATCTCAGTATCGATCTCATTTTCAATCCACGCAACGGGACACCACGGGACACCACCGCACATTTGTCGATCTCAGTATCGATCTCATTATCGATGCCACTCAGCGGGACACCATGGGACACCAAGGGCCACCACGGGACACCGCGGGACACCTCTCGATTTCACTATCGGTCTCACTATCTATCTCACTCAACGGGACACCTCGGGACACCACATCGGTCTCAGTATCGATCTCAGTATCGATCTCAGTATCGATCTCACTCAACGGGACACCACGGGACACCTGTCGATCCCACGATCGATCTAACTATCGATCTCGTTTTTTGGGACACCACGGGACACGTCGGGGCACCACATCGTGTCAGTATCGATCTCACTATCGATCACACTCAACGGGACACCACGGGCCACCACGGGCAACCACGGGACACCTGTCGATTTCACGATCGATCCATCTCACTTTCGATTTCACTTTTAGGACTCCACACGGGACACCACGGGACACCTCGGGGCACCACATCGATCTCAGTATCGATCTCACGATCGATCTCATTCAACGGGATTTCACTATCGATCACACTCAACGGGACACCACGGGACACAACACAACGGGACACCGCGGGACACCGCGTGCCACCGCCAGACGGGCGGGCGGGGGAGAATCATTTGTCTTGATTTCGCCCTAGCAACGGCGGACACCACGGGACACCGCGGGACCGCAGTACCTCGCGGGCCACCGCCGGACGGGCGGGCGTGGGAGAATCATTTGCCTTGACTTCGCCCTAGCAACGGCGGTCACCACGGGACACCACGGGACACCGCAGGACACCGCGGGAAACCGCGGGCCACCGCCGGACGGGCGGGCGTGGGAGAGTCATTTGTCTTGATTTCGCCTTAGCAACGGCGGACACCAAGGGACACCACGGGACACCACGGGACACCACGGAGCACCGTGGGACACCGCGGGACACCGCTGGACGGGCGGGCGGGGGATTTTTTGCTTTCGCCCTAGCCAAGGCGGACACCACAGGACACCACGGGACACCACGGGACACCGCGGGACACCGCGGGCCACCGCTGGACGGGCGGGAGGGGGATAATAATTGTCTTGCTTTCGCCCTAGCAACGGCGAGTTCATTCCTCTCACCCGCCCACTCAGCTTCGCCTCGCCCGCACGCACGACACGAACGAAACGAAACGATTTCCCAGTTGGGGGTCCCCGTTCCTCTGCGATCTCACCCCCCAACCTCCGAATCTGGATTAGAATTCCTCCCAACAATCTTGACAGATTGTTGGTTGGATGATTTTGAAGGATTGTTCGATTGTTCCATTGGCATCGGCTCATCCCAGATTTGCAATTCATGTTGCTTTTTATCCTCTGCCTCGGTGCTCTTCATTTCTGTCAATCTAACCCCCACACGAAACATAATTGCCTGGCGACAGACCGAACCCATAGCAGCTACATGTAAGTTTGATTTGAATTGCCCCACGATCACCGCGACATAGCAGTCATGGGAGTTGGCCTGGCATAGGTCTGCTGTGCGCCGGGGTGTTCACTCGCATGCCCTGCCAGAAATTTAACGAATCCGTCAGAGATAACGCAGAGCACCATCGAACAGCACAGGGCGATACAGAGAGGCAGAAGGCGGGTCAGAGCAGCAGAAATCAACGCTCGCATCAGGGTTCACATTCAGACTTCCTCACGCTCAGCCTTGCTCCATGTGGCAACCTTGCACTGGGAAGTGCCAGACACCGATGTTTGAATGCTTGCGTCGAATGATGTAAACTGAAGTAATACAGTAGTCGCCTGCGGCGGGCTCTCCATTTATATTGATTGCTGAATCCCACAGATCCGAATATCATATTCGTGGACTGCGGCGGGCTTGTGATTGAAGCTTTCATTCCGTACATCGACAAACTGGTGCACCATTTTTGCGCTGTGCATTGGCACCTGTACTGCATTGCTCTTGCCCCCCCCTTCCCCCCGATCTTAATATTAGGTGCATGGCGAAGAGCCCCTGTTCCGCCTGGGGGCTCCCGACAAAATGTTGCACCACCGAGCTGTTTCGACCAGCCCGGACCGACCCCAATAGTAAGATCGGGGGGAAGGGGGGGAAACAAACGATTAATAACAGCGATGCGATGTATTGTCAGCGCCAGGTGGTGCAACATTTTGTCGATGTACCGCTGGTTCGCAAAACCAGCACTTGCGGTGGCATTGTCAGTTTGATCGAATGGTAAGCGTGTGCATTCGGAGGAAGGTGGATGTTCACGTCTACCCGCGCCTGCGAGTGCACAGGGCGCATGGAAAGCGAACGATACTATGTTTGCGCACTAGGGCATATTATGCTTGGGAGCTGCCAGCGCTCAAAGCACACATTCCGTTTGGCTTGCGCGTTTGCGGCACGATATTCCAAACACGATGTTTTGGTGGGGCCGTCTCACGGAATGATTTCGCTTCCCCAATCTCCAGTATGGCAAGTTGAACATTATCGAGGTTGCTTGCAGTATCCTCAGCGACACCTTTCAACTGTCAGATGGAATTCGCAATGCCGAGTGCCAGAAAAGGTTATTTTGCCACACCTCCTCGGCCATGGCCCAGAAGTTCAGAAACTGGGCAGCGGATGGTCACGGGTCACATAGAGGCCCTCCGACATCAGGAGGTCGAAGCTTGGAAGGAGGCAGCTCGGTTGCCCCACAGGTGGTCAGACCCTGGCCCGATGCATGTGCTCGTGCATCGCTGGTTGGCTTGCGTTGACTTCAGACCTGCCTGGCGCGCGGAGAAGGACAAGGAAGTTGAAGGCGAAGGAGAGATCGGAAGAACAGACGGAGGACAGGAAATTCGAGTAGGAGTAGTTTCCCCTCCGCCGTCGTCGCACTATGTTGCTGCTCCGCCTTCTCCAAGATATTGGCTCGACTTGGGGCCAGTTCCATCGATTCCATTCAGCTTTGATGCGAGCTGGTTCTGCGGCACTTCCCCGACACATACGTTCAGCTCTCGCTTTCGTTCTTGCCCTTCGCGTTGCCGCCAGGCGAAGCTTCATCGGCCTGCAGCCCGACATGCCCGCGTTGGCTTGGTCGGGCTCCGACCTCATACCACTCCCACAGGAAGTTCAGGACAGGGTGGAGGAGGTAGGGGATCAGCAATAGGGAGCAAGCAAGACCTTGCCCCGTGTCGTTATCGTCTCACACGCGTGTTACTCCCCAGCTGCCTACCAGTACTTGCACATAAGGGCCGCTATTTCGGTCCGAGGGCCTGGCATTGAACGCCGCCGTTGGCCACAGTCATGATGGTTCCTCACGGCGGGTGCCCTTCGAGTCGGTGCCCTATAGTTCGTGCTTCATTATGTTACCATGACTGTTGTGGTCGGCTGTATGGTGTTTTCTGTGCCCTGGTGCCCTATGATTGGTGTTTCTCTGTGGTTCCCCCCCGTATGGTTGGTGATTTGTGGATTTGGATGGTGACCTATGGTGAAAGTTCAATCGTCGGGGCCGATGTTTGGTTCTCGATGTTTCCTATGTCTGTTGCCCCATGGCTGGTGCCCCGTCGTTGGCGCCCTTTGACTGGGGAGGCGCGGGGAGGCGAGACCAGTATAGTCGGACTTGATAGGACAGCCGGGGGGCACAATATTCTTCCGACGGCAACATGGCCCGAGAAACCGCGAAGACATGAGACGGGATAGTGTGAATAGAACCCGTGTAATACCCTCATATATACTCCTTATCCTCACCTCTTCTGCGCCTGGCCGTTTGGGCTCAGGTATTGGGACAGATCGATCAGACCTTTGATCGTGCAGGAGGGAACGACATCCATCTATCCCTCCTTCCCTCTACCAGCGGATCAGGGGTTTTGTACCCTTGTACTTCAACCCCATGCACAGATTATCAGCCCTTTAAAGCTCACCTTTCACCGAACCGCACGTTGTGACCTCGCACGCGGTCTCGATGGAGCCCCTGCGGCGCATGCGCCGCAAAGGGTCCATCGGGGCCTCGCGTCCGAGCTCTCCAACGGCACGACGGCTCGGTGACGAGTTGGAGAGCCTTAGTGCGGACTGTGTTGGTGTTCCAGATACCCCCCCCCCCCCCCCAGCTCCGACGGACCCGAGGCGCGGCTAGCTGCTGAGCTTCACCGCAGCGCCGCCCGCGGGGGGACAGGAGAAGGAGTAGGAACAGGAAGGAAGGAGTTTCACACGCCTACCTTCGATCCTCCATCCCCTTCCCCGTCGGGAGCAATCCCAACCGCGTCAGGCGAAAGCCTCACCGGTCATGACACTCCAGGGCGCTTTCGCGCTAACCGCCGATGGACCTCAGGTGCTGGTACCCCCAGCCTTGCGACCGTCCCCGTGGCGGAGCACGGAGCCACCTTCGAGGAACTCAGTAGACCAGTGGCGGCGCAGCCGCAGACGCAGTACCCCAAGGTATCATCGGACGAGACACCACACACACACATGGTCCGAGTCGCAGCTCGTCCGCGCGCAACCGCCGTGGAGCCTCAGGCCCATACGGCGAGAGTAGGTCGAGCCCGCGTACTGCCTCTCAGAGGCCATGCGCTCCCCGTGACAGGGGACACAGGGAAGCTGACGCTCCCCACCTCTCCATCTCAGACGACCAGCTGGCGGAAACGTCCGCCGCAGGTGAAATAGCTGAGCTCAGAGACCAGGTTGAAACCTTCGTGTCCAGGCAATACTCTTGGACTACTGCAGAGCGTTCAGACGAACGCCGCCGATACTGCAGCCATGCGCCACGATCTGGACGGCGCCTTGGGGATCATTGATTCCAGGATCGCCGAAGATCGACGCATCATAGGTGAACTGCAGTACCAGGTTGATCGTGAGGTGTCACACTCAGGTGAACGAACGGCGATGGTCGAGAACCTGCGCAACTACCTCGCGCAGATGGAGCAACAGCTTGTGCTCGTACGCGACACAGGCGTTTCAGCAGTCAGGATTTTACATGATGAGATCCACGACCAGCTCCGCAACCGACCAACACCAGCCGAGGCCACCGACCTTGGCGACGTTCAGTCTCGGATCAATGATCTTCGATCTTATCTAGACCACACTACGGCGACGCTTCGCAACGAAGCACGCACCAACTCGTCGAACCTGATCGGCATGTTGCAGCGTACTGAGAGAGTCATCACTCGAAGGCTTGATGCGACCAACGCTGTCGTGCATCCACTCGCTAACCGGATCTCTGACATCGAGCAGCGTTTTCCTGCAGTACAGGACGCCCTGGCAGAGTTGCGTGTCGGACGAGCCCAGACTGGCCAGCTGGATTCTCCTCCCACGGTTTACGATTTCGCCCGCCTCACTGACAGGTTGCAGGAGGTTGAGAAGGCGGCGGACCACACGCAGTTGGAGCTCTCCCAGGTTATTCGTGAAAGAGATACTGAGAAGGTACGTGTAGAGGGTCACCTCGCACGTCTGGAAAGCGAGCTGGAGGCACAAAGCGCCCGTCTCCGAGCATACGAGCAACGACTTGATCGGCATTCACAACGTTCTCGGGATGCTGACGAGCACACGCGCCAAAAGGTGGCACAAATACACGAAGACATGACGAGCTGGACGAATCAGCTGATCGACCACACCAACGACACCAATCTCCACCTTCGACCTGCAACCGACCTGCACAGGCCGACGGCAGCGTCCGCCGAAGCACCACACGCTTCTGCAGGACAACAACGACGTACGTCACCAGGAGCAGCTTCCGCGGCAGCTTCTGCACAGACACGCCATGTGTCTCCTGTGCGCACAGAACCAACTACTGACGGTGCACCGATACCCTCACAACCACTCTCTGCGGTTTCGGTCCATACTACAACTCCTATCAAGGAGTCAGACACCGTCCGAGTCCCTGTCTTGCCTAAGATCACGCAGCTGCTCGAATGGCAGCAAAAAGTACGGAAGAACTTCGGGGCCGCCTCAGGGCGACCATCCAAAGCATACGCCTTCCTATGCGTGGCTGAACAGCCCGAATGTACATTCGAGGACTTACAAGACAGTGGAGACTTTGAGAGCATCGATTGCAAACTCGCTACCGCTCTGAGCGACATCTTATCCTCGGACTTACGCTACCAAATCAGGCCCATCGAAACTAGAGAGCACAACGCAGGACGCATGCCCAAAGGACGCCAGACTTACTGGCACATCCTACAGTCCTACAAAGTGACAGAGGTTGACGACGACCTGCACGATTTCGAGCGCCTCACATAACTAACTGAGGATGAGAGATAACGATTTGCAACGTTTTATTACTGACTGGGACGCTTTACTCTTGGAGTGCCGAGGAGCACCCGATCCAAAGATCTTGGAATCGCTGTTTCGTACACAGATTCGCAGACATGTATGGATGAAACAAGACATGTACGAGTGCCAGCGCATGAAGATGAGCGACCCGAATCGTACCTACGATTGGCTCCGACAGCGTGTCCTGGACATACTGGAGCTTAAACAATTGGAGAATAATCAAGACAAGTTACTGCACGAACATGAGACACGTTCTCAAGTCAACGTGCGCGCTGCCTGGAAGAAAGGCAATTGTCGCAATGGTGAACGGCGCAAGGCTTTGCATGCATATTCCAGGGATTGGAAGAACAACAAATCTTCCAGAACATCGACGGCTGGTGGCAACTCCCGCCGTAGTATGTCCACTCCTGCGAATCACAAGAAGCCAGCATCGAAACCATTTTGCTTCGATTTCGCCAAGCGCAGCACATGTACCAGAGGCGATAAGTGCAACTTTCCACACGTCGCACAGCGTAAAGATTTCGCACAGAATAAGTGCCCAAGAGGCGACAAATGCAAATACGCTCATCTTACACCTGGTGCAAAGACTCCTGAGCGAAGCCCGAGTCGACCTCGGACCTTCAGCCAGGATAGCCGCGGCCGATCACCATCCCGCGGATCAGGAAGCCAACGTTCTTCACAACGCGGGGGGTTCCGCTGCGCAAGCGACTCGCGCCATGGACGTGACAACCGACGCCAATGCGACCGGTCTCGTTCAACATCCAGGAGGTCCCCAGACTCTCGCAGTCAATCGAGAAGTCGATACGACAGATCTTCGAGGTCTACCTCCCGAGGGCGAGACAATCGTGGCGGCGGACGCGGTAGTCCACGCGGCCGTGATAGATCATATGGCAGTGACAAAGGACGCGGCAGACGTTCCTTGAGTCATGGTTCGTCCCGTGGCTCACCCCACGCCAGAGCGCGTTCTCTTGCCAACTTTCGACGTTCACGACGTTCCGACCGCAGTTGCGTCATCCGTGACAAGACCCTCATGGCCAACACCAAGGCCACAGCGACATCTAACAAAACACGTCGTCGGATACGCTTCGGCATACGTAACGTGGAATACTATTTACATACCGTATCTGGCAGGGCCAGATTGGATAAGTGGAAAGAGATGCCGAACGAGGGTGACATCGTCAATGTACCAGACCCGTTACCACAACGATGGTGGGATCAAAGTGCGGATGCTCTACGAGAATGTCAAAAAGAGGCACAGCTATGGTACTCTGACCTATACGACTACCGACACAACAAAGAGTCGGTGGTCACACCAACTGCGATCCGAAAATATGACGACACTGTTAAGCAGTCATCAAAGACAGCCCAGACGAAGACAACGACAATGCAGGTCGACCCACCACGCTCGACTGCTGCATTGACACGATCCTGGGTTCTCGACAGCGGTTCTGCTCATCATATCCAGGGAAAACACGAACTAACGCAGACCGAATCGGATCGCATATCTATTCGCGAGGAGCATATTCTGGAAACCGCCAATGGTGATCGTACTGTCAACGAGCACTACGACATTCGGCTACCCGAGGTTGGCTTACACAGTTCAGCCCTTGCCTTGCCAGACTGTCAATCTTTACTATCAGTTGGGAAATTGATCGAGGTTGATGGCTTTCGGCAGCTTTGGGATCCTGAGCTGGGCTACTTGCTTCAGGATCCGGGGGGCCAATGGTATTGGATTCCAGTCAACAATTGAGTTCCAGAATTGCGACTCGACGACTTGACACTAATACCACCACCACGTTTATGCACTTCGTCAGCACCCCGACGTCGTCAGCGCAAGCGTTCATCCGCCCGCTGCAACGACATTTGCTG